AACAACTGCGACAGGCTGATGCCTGTGTACGCCGTACGCTCCAAATTTTCGATTTCCTCAAACCCAAGCATTGGTTTATGGAAAATCCGATGGGCAGGTTTCCCTTTGCGCTGCGATTTCGACCCGTACTTCGTCGTTTACCTACGTACTCCGTTGTATTGCTCTTACTGTATGTATGGCACTGGCTACCGCAAGCCTACTTGCATCTGGACGCAGTCGCCTCCTCCGGTGGACCTGCGGTACTGTACGATGGATACTCCTTGTCTTCACCAACAGACTCTGGGATCACATCCGGAAACTGCTCAACTGGGGCCTCATCCTGGGCAACAAGGAGCGGGAGTCTCCGCTGCTGTATACCCTCTGCCCTCTGGATTGCTTCGCCAACTCTTCGAGCACCTGTTCGATCAGAAAAAAGCATATCACGCATACATACGCATGGCTGATCTGTGTCTGGATCTTAGCTGCTGTACAAATGACTCTGAGTTATCATCTCTTTGTACTAACAAGCTAAGAGGGGAGGAGTTGTGCCAGGGAACACTGGCCATGTCAAGCCATTTGATTGGCATATTGTATTTATGCGCAGTGGGGCAGTGAAATGGCAATGGGCTCGGAAGGGGACTCCCGAGCCATTGACTTCGTACTATGGGGAGCGAAAGCCTGGGCTCGATTATAGCTGACAGCATATTATCGTCCACCCTTCTGGAGCGCTACGCCGCTGGGAGCGTAATAGGGGCGGTGGCTGGTTTCTGGAAGACGCCACTCTAGTGAAGGCGTCGGTAGCGCCATTTTCATTACCGCTCAGCGTTGCGTACTGGAATCAGACGAGTGTGACTGACGAGTATGAGTATCGCGGAATTACATACAAGGGGCGTAAGTCTGTACAATCGACGCCTACGAACAGTGACGATTCGGGTGCAGGTGCTGTGACCTGGAGTAAGGAGAAGCTACCAGATTCGGATGACAATGATGACGCGGGTGTCACGGACAGTAAGCATGACATGGATACTGCCAGTCCGAAATGGGTGCCTGACTCGCCTGAATATGATGACACCGAGGATGACGTCAGCGAGTTCGATGACTTGGTAGCTGACGATGCTGAAGAACAAGCTGAAGCTCGAAAGTTGAAGAGACTGGGACTGCAGTTGATCATGGATGATAAGGGTGAACTTATCTGGGTGCCAAAGGGCACCTCTCCGACCTCACCCGTTCAGCCAGGGGATCAGCCTATCACCGAGCAGAAGTCTGAGGCCATATCTGAGGATGCTCCAGCCTCTGTGGTGGAGACTGTTCAAGTACAACCGAAGGAACCATCTGGGCCAGATACTGGATTGACTTCAATGAGTGAAAATAATGCTGGGGTGTCCGAAGTGACGAAGAGGCAACCCAGGAAATATCCTGCCTGTTGGACAGCTGAGCACATAGCTTATTTGGAATGTACCCGAGGCAGTGACAGTGATGATGAAGAAGTGCAGGACGTGGCTCCTCGTAGGAAGAAGGCAAAGACCAGCAAGGGACAATGAAATCAACTGTCTTGATTAGGATTGTCCAAATACAGATTCTCTGATTAGGATTTGTATAGGTGGCAGATGATGATATGCCAGCCGACATGGGACATATCGATTAGAGATATGAAATGCGCGCCTAGAAAGTATAAGACATGAATTCTTGCCCAGTGGAGGCTGCTCTAGCTTGAAGTAATTATTTGGAGGAGCTGTTGCTCAACCTGTTAAAATACTGGTCAATCTTTCCTGCCATAAAGATATTGCAATTGCTTAATTGTAGCCTTGTTCAATACCAACCCGTCATACTATATATCTAATATGTATATGGTCTTTGTCATTAAATTAAAGGTCGCTTCGCATGCAAGCTGGGCTGCAAACAAAACCCGCGCTGAAAAACCGGTTTCGTGAGCCTTAAGCAACGTCGCGTTGAAACAGCGACGCACGGTGCAGCTCTCGAGTTCCGGGAGACCTACCCGAAATCGAGATCTCAGGAGCATCCAATTTCAGATGGTCCATTGGGAAACGGGTATTTTTTCTGGACAGATCCAGTTTTGCCCTGAAAGCGGAAACTTTGAGCAAGAGCTCGATCAAGATCGAAAGAATCGAAGATACAATAAAAATTGTACATGCTTCTTTAACACCGTAAATCTTTGAAGAAAAAAACAATATGAAATAGCCTCGCGTCAACACTGGGCGGAAACGCCCGAATCGATGGTCAAAATAGGGGTATAAAACAGGGAAAGTGGCGATCTTCGCCTCGGAATCACATATGGGTGCTATATATATTCTTCATCGGGGTGATCTCACGGTTATTTTGATACCCTAAAGTTCACAATCGGACGATTTCGGTTTTTCGAGTGGCGTCACTAAGGTATTCAATTTATTTTACCACGCAATAAACTCCGCGATGACTTAATTTTGGGCTTCATCTCAAGTCGACTACCATTGCGGTCAGAATTGATGAGCTGAGTTGACTGAATTTTGACAACACAATGACACGATGGCGGGGCTTCCTACAGTGTAGTGAAGCCTACTGATTATTAAACTACGCCGTACGATGGCTCATCTTTCCTAAACCAATAGGAAACCGAACAGATGCTTCAACTTTACTGAATTTCCTCGCTCGTTTGATGATTCCTGGGAATGTCTTCGTGAAATGGCATTTTCTCTTTAATATCTCTATAGCGGGGTGACCTTAATAACTTATACCACGCAGTGTAAACTCCGCGATGACTTGATTTTGGGCTTCATCTACTTCGTCCACTACTATTGGTCAGAATTAATGAGCTGAGTTGGCTGAATTTTATCTACACAATAATTACACAATGGGCTTTATATAGTTTGGTGATCTGGTGAAGGCGTGAAGCCTACTGATTATCAGACTACGCCGTACGATGGCTTCTCTATCCTAAACCGATATATGAAAACGAATGAATGCTTCACCTTAACACTGCTGGAAAATATTGAATTTTAAGTATGGGGACGACCCGATTTTTCAAAGGGTAACACTAAAGACGCTGGATTTCAGCCTCATAATTTCATTATTAATTATTCCCTGCTTGTCATCTCGCGATATCGAACCTGACCATCATCGCCATCAGGCTCCTCACCGGCCGGTTCCGGCAGTAGATGAGATCCGAGATCGTGACGACTGCAACGTCTCTACTGTACAGCGTACGTGCCGTGTACTCGTTTTCGACATCGTCCCCAGCGCCGCCACAGTGATAATCAGCGCCAACAATAAAGTCAGCACACTTTCCTTTTAACATCGGCCCTGCAGACTGCCACCTTAATAATATTTGTGTGCTGCATATTTGTTTGCCCTCTTATTTTTCTCAATGATTATTTGATTTTGTGTGAGCTCACGACGCGGGGTGTTCGTGGATCTCTTGTTGCAGATACCTTTAAATATATTACACCGCACGCTGAGATGTGGGAGTCGAAGTTCGCCAACCTAGCGTGGGATAACTCCCACCTACATAGGACGTGCTCCAGTCGCATGCGTTTAACTGTTCAAGTGAAGAGTTTTGCGCACATGAAGTGTGTTCATTCTGGAACACACGTTTTCGACCCATCTTATGTGGCTCGTTCTTGAGGTGTGGAATGCTAGGTTGGGATATGCCAACCTAGATTGGGATTGAAACCCAACCATATCGGACCTTAGTTATGTGCATATTCTTTTGCATACATTTGGTGTGCATCCAAAGCTTGACGCATATCGAGAGTGGAGTGGTCAAGTCGTGGGCTGAAACTATTTTGGGTATCTTGGGAACTAGCGACCTCTATATATGTGGAAGTCTAAGGTGGTATATGCCAACGTATCTTGGGATAGAACCCAGCCACATAAAGCTTTACTTAGTCGATTGCTACATTAAACATATCTTAGCGTTTAAATAAGACGAGCATATTTGGCGCAAGTGCATCCACTTGTCGTGGGACGAAACCCCCACCACATGAAACCAACTTATTCGAACATTTAATTGCTGAAATAAGTAAGTTGGACGTGGTTGGCTTTCTTTCTTAGATAAGTTAGACGACGGCGACGACACAATTTCAGCTTACGAATTAGCAGCTAGCATGTAGATAAGCCAAGTCCGATGTGAGAGGGTTTCATCCCACGCTAAGTTGGCCTAAGCCAACCTACGTAGTTCCACGTCTCAAGAGGTAGCCAAGGCTACATACGCCGAACAAAGCCCCCCAAACGTTGCAAAACTATACCACCTGAACGCGTTACAGTATGCAAAAATCTGAGACGCATGCGAGTGGGTCTTGTTCCACGCTAAGTTGAGCAACTTAAACTTCCACATGTTAACGCGGGTGTAATATTTTGGAGGGCACCTGCAATACGAGCTCCCAAAACCCCGCATCGCGAGTTTACACGCATAATTAGAAAATCGTCGTAAGGAAACCAAACAGCCATAAATCACAAAAAAACACACACACAGTAAGCAGCAGACCGCAGCGGTGTTCGTTCGCCCTGTGAGGCGAAGGAGTTTCGGTTCGAGTAAATGGACCCGTTGACGCTGGCTGACGAGGTTAATGAATGAATGCCCACAATGTAGAATGTTGGCGATGTCGGCGGACAAAAGCGATTCGCGATGACGATGGCGATGGCGTATCCATCGCCCGGAACCGGCAGTGGCAGATGATGGTCAGGTTCGATATCGCGAGATGACACGCAGGGAATAATTAATAATGAAATTGTGAGGCTGAATTCCAGCGTCTCTAGTGTTACCCAAAAAATAGGGGGGATATTCGATTTCATCTCCGATCCCCCCATCATATTATCTCAGAATCACTTCAAAATCTGCAGGCACAGGCGAGGGGAACGTTACACGCGAAGAAGCGTGCAGTGCCGAGTGAGTGTATTTCCCTTGTAGATCAAGATCGGTGACACTCATGCACTGTAGTGTGTCCCACGCTTTTAATACCTGAGCTGACGTAAGTTGGTATTTATACAACAAAGGCCACGACGACGAATAAACGGAAATACCAACTGCGGTTGTAGCTCAAACGGTAGAGCGCCCGCTTTGCATGCGGGAGGTACCGGGATCGAAACCCGGCAACTCCAAAACAATATAAACGCCACGGTTTATGTGTGCCTTTCAAATGCCGCGGGAATGGCACGTGCTTTGAAAACTCTAACTGTGGTACGCAGGAAGCTGTGTGGGAAACGCTATCGCTGGATGAGCAACCTCCCTCCTGAGAAAAATTGAACCCTCCTAAGATCTTACTATATTACAAAAGAAAAGCCAAGGGGCAAATCACGTGCCAGTCGTTTCGTTTACCGTCACAACTATAAAGGACAGTCAAATTACACTTTGTGCTTCCCTAGCAGTGACACCGTTTACACTTCCGAGGGGCAATACTTAAAACATTTACGTACGTAGATGCTAAGGACCATAGCCTAGGAGTGCTGCAACTCAACTCTAATGTTGGTATCGACCGTGACGTTTTGTTAGCGTACAAACACCGGTATCGTCTGGACACTCCCGTGAGACATATGTGTCCCTGGGACAGTGTCCCAACGGCCTTGTCTTCTCGATGCGCTTCGACACGCAAGAAAGAAAACACAGCGTCCCTCGGTAGTCCAGTTGCACTAAATATGTGCACTGTTGCGCATATTGCCCTAAAGGCAATTACCTTGGGATTGGGTGAGATCAGCCCACTAGCCCTTGCTGCAAAGCAATGTGGCGCACGGCTTTGTGATAGCCGAACGTTTTACGGTTTTGGATATTCTGCGCTTTGTTAAACGGCGCATTATTTGGATCCTAACTAAAAGAGGAGCGTTGTAGGGAATTATGGACAATAGACTTAACAAATTGTAGATGGTTAGAAGAATTTAGGATGAATGTTATTTGAAAAATAATTCAGGAAATGAGTCTATCAACATGTTGAGTAAACGAAGGCTTTGAGCCAATTCAGTCAAGGGAACTCAGGAAATTCACACTCAGTCAATGTGTTTGGAAGATGAATGAGAAACTGCTTCGTTCTCTACACTTTTGGGGGGGGAAGAATTTATGCACATTACGGTAAGTGCACTATTGTGTATCGATTCATTTAAGGTATATATTGTCTGTCACAGATCTCATGAAACTCGTTCTCGCCACGAATGCAGGAGACACCCATCAAATACCGAAGGTGTATTGGACATCGCACACAGGTGCTAGGAAGCCCTCCATGAATGTTGCTATCTACCAAAAAAGAGATGGAGATATAATCTATTATTGTGAACCAGTCTATTTACTGTATGGAACTAGGAGCCTTTGCATCTGATCACAAAGAGTTGTTCTGTTCCTGGAGAGCATTCATGAAGGCGTGATGTTTAGTGGTCAAGAAGGGATGAGTGCTCCACCTCAACGAAATTTTATCTTCCTTTGTTATTTTCGTTTGCTTCAGTGCCAGAGTTGACGTCTTCAAAGCTTCCAGGGGCAACAAAATTAACAGCGGGCCATTTGAAAGTTCCTCACTACGACTCCTGAACTGTAGCAATCTAGAAAGAGCAGCTGAGCACACGCAGGATTTCAACCAACGATCCGTTGCTGATCACTCTTTCAAAACGAGGCCCAGCTCATTCACACCGTCAGACGAGCTTAAGGTAAACCTTGACGAGGGCCCCATGCATTGTTAAAGCTTTGGGCGGCGTTTGGTGCACCGTTACCCCAAGCAGCATTCTGCACACCATGGCCCCAAGCTTGCTCGCCGACACCTGGAGGAACCATCTTTCCAGCCTCTGCACCGGGTGGGAGTGCTGGGTTCTGTTGCTTTGGCTGTCGCAGCAAAACGGACCAGGAGACAGCTGTCAGTGGTTGAGCTGTGAGGTCAGCAAGGACAGGAGGAACTCGAATGGAGAAAAAACGCTCAAGAGTGCTGAAACATATTTGACAAGGACAAGTACAGGGAGTCAGGGACACGTAATCTTCAGCAAGCCGTGAGACTTGCATTGTAGACTGCTCACCTTGAAGCCGAGCAGTCGCAGCACAAAACGAGCGAGCTCGGCGTATAGCATTCCTGACCGGTCGAATAGCTGTAAACAAACCGGATCTAGTTAGAGAGCACTTTTACGGCGCGAAGCGAGAAAGGAGGCAGGAGAGCAAATGCAGGCGGCTTCCAAGACAACACTCACGAACGGAGGGAGGTAATGGGACAGAAGAGTAAAATTCGAGATCCACACTGCGCCCCATAGAACACACGCCTGGGGGAAAAGGAGATTGCCCAAGAGGCTGTGGGATGCAAACTGCAGTGCGCATCGGTGACGGCAAGCTTGTGCAGGATGAAAGAAGGTTGGTGACTCGAGTTAAGCACTAGTTAGCGAGCGCTTATCTTGTCGTAGTACGAGTTGAGATGGGAGGAGGGGCTGTGGAGTGTAGGATGTCGCAGCACGTGCTCGCGTAGTCTACTATCACAGTGTATAAAGCGCAACTCTACTATCACAGCATATAAAGCGCTAGTCTACTATCACACTGTGTAAAGCGCTAGTCTACGATCACACTGTGTAAAGCGCTAGTCTACTGTAACAGTATACGAAGCGCTAGTCTACTATCACAGTATATAAAACGCTAGTCTACTATCACAGTATATAAAGCGCTAGTCTACTATCACAGCATATAAGCGCTAGTCTACTATCACAGTGTATAAAGCGCTCACCTGAAGCACAGCTGTTATGAAAAAGTGCACGGCCTGCGTGTTCTCGTCCACTAGGAAAGATATTCTGCCGAAGAGGGTCATTATGCCGTGCAACTGCGGCAATAAAATCGTGGATAAAGATTCAAAACGCTTTCGAAGCTGTTAAAAATATACGTCCGCAACGCAAGAGAAGGGCAGAAGCGTAAGCCGTCATGAAGTGGGCCAGGGTTCGCTTGGACGCATCGACGCACGCGTTCTGTGGATGCTTCCCTAACGAAAGAGAAACGCAGGGCACGATATCCGAAGCTCGAGAACAGAAGAAGTGGAAACCGCTTCGGTAATGTGCCGAGCAGTAGGAAGGCGAGACCTTTTCTAAACGCAAGTTCTCAGGAGAAAGTCTGTCAACTTGACGACAAGCCGAGGGCCCTGGGGTTCGGACTAAAAATATCACAAGAGCGGGAAGGTTATGGTACCGATTGGAGAAGCATCTGCCAACGCGGCGCTGGTGCTGGAGGACCGTTCGGGTCATTAGGGTCACCCATCATACCGGGAGCCCCCGGCGGACCGAGTCCCGGCGTCATATACCCACCACCCATACCTCCCATACCTCCCATGCCCCCATACATACCACCCCCCATACCACCACCGTACATACCACTCCCCATACCACCATACATACTCGAACCGCCGTACATGCTGCTTCCATAACCACCCATTCCACCCATCCCATATCTTGACTGCATGCCATATCCACCAAGGCCTCCTCCATACATTGACCCACCCATTGACCCACCATACATACTTGACCCGCCGTACATGCTGTTGCCGTAACCACCCACTCCGCTTCCGTACATGCTGCTACCGCCGTACATGCTGCTGCCAGGCCTGTTATACATTCTGCAAACACAGGAAAGCGAAAGGTGTGTAAGCACAAGAAATAGCGAGTGGCTAAACAACGACAGGTACAGGCAGGGTGCTCACCCTCCGACACCGCTGTAGCCTGCTGCGCCGTAGGTGCTCGCTGCACACACAAAAAACATATATTATTCTCCATTGCACCAGTGAAAACCGCACAGAGAGCTTTTCATCGGGCGAGTGTTTTGTATGCAACGAGGGCCACCTGCAGAAGGTAAAATGGGTGGGCAACGTGTATCACCTGCTCCACTTTCCCAGGGACGAGCTGGGTTATTGGCCGTTGAGACAGCTCCAGCAACTTCGCCTGTAGCACCGCAAAGAGTGAGCAGGAAGCCGAGGGACTTAGGTTGTTGTGCGCAAGTGGCAACAAACCTGGAGGTTTTTCCCAGGGTTTCGCTGCTCCCGCAGCTGGAGACGAGTCCACCGGCGCAGCGCCCGTAGCCTTTGCCTGTTCCCACGGCTTAGGCGGAGCTGGACGGCCTGTACAATAAAGTGCGGAGAGTTAAGCACATATCCCCGCCGTCAAGAAAATACCAGGTCCTTGCAAAATCTAACCGTGAAAGCACCTGAAGACATTGTGCACTGAGGAGATGATTATGGAGCTGAAGACTTTGTTATGAATATCACTTCAGATTGAGAACAAAATACACGTAACACGGGTCGCTTTTTGCTATATTCGATAAAGAGCAGTTATCAGAGTTCTTACACACAAACCCTAACACGACGCTTGCACATAACAGTAACGCACGTACTGCCTTAACCCTTCTTCAACTGAAAGAGATGTTGGCTAATCAGCAAATACTACTAATTGCACACTGTAGGGCGAAGGGATCAACTTATATGTATGAAGTCGATGGGCACTTGCTGATGCCAAGAGGATTTTTATGCTCTTTCTTTTTGGCACGCGACCCGGCTCCATCGTTTGCAAAAAACGCCAACAGTTTGTTTTGATACCATATGCGCGCCCGGTTTGCCGATCGCATCTTCTCCCCGCGCGCACATAATTGACGTGGTAACCGTTCGATGGTTTCTGGGCAATACATAGCAGCTCTGCTATTGGCAGGCCGACCTCCCTGAAAGCCGACGGTTCAGCATTTATATTCCTAACACGATATGAGAAAACGGGAATACACAATAGCAGTTTATACAACTAGAATCGTGACACGAATAGGTTCCTACCGAATACGAATACATCGAATATCGTATATCTATTCAGCTTACCCATAGCTAGATATTTATACAGTAAGATCTCGTGAAAAAGATCCTCGCCACATACGAGTCTGCGCCGGCATCGGCACGTATGACGATGACAGGCCAATCAACTTTTGTTCCTTTTTGTTTTTATATCAATATGTGTTTTTATATTATTCGGCGGTCTCTGGCTCTCCGGATTGTTCTCTCAGCAGGGGCCGATTCGCAAGGACCAGTGTCCAGTGAGCTTCCCGGCGATTTTAGATGGTTGGCCGGCGGCATGCACACTTAATAATAGGACTGATTTTGAAAAAAAAATGGCCTGTAAATAGTTTGGGG